AGGGCTTTTCACATTTCTTTAAGACCTCTTTTGTGGGTGTCCTTTTTCCCCTTCTGCCTGCATCATATTCAAAGTATCCGTTTATTTTTCACTTCAAGCATTTTCGGTATCATTTTTTTTCCTCTTAAATATATTTTATTAATTCGTCTCCAGTTCTAACTCTACCCCTTCCCGTTGTGTTTCAGCTGTTGTCGTTTCTCAGTGTCTTACAAGAACATTACCTCCCAGATGATCCGGGTTCTCTTGCCCTGTTTGTTCAGGAATCAGCTCGGGTCTTCCATGAGCATGAATATCCCTTCTCCTGACATTTCACCTTTGTGTCTATAGGAATGGTTCAAGGTTCATGCTGCCGTTTAGCCTAGCCCTTCAGAGTTTCCTCCAAAGCTCTTATTTTTAAAAGAGAACCAAATGGAAAATCACAGTGGGCCAAATCCTTCAGTAGAAGGATGGAGAATGCCTGAGGATGACGAAGCCTGTTGATGTGAGAATATTTCATATTCTCAGAAAAGTTGGGTGATCTTATCTATTACCTTTATAACAAGCAACAAAATACTCAAATAAATGTTTTGACAGCTTTTCAGGGCCATCAAGTTTTGAAATAGAGAACCACAAGAGTAATAAAACCAGACTCCTTCTAAAGACAGACAGCTCTTCTGAAAGAAATGCATGAACCCCACATTTTACATTTCATTGTGAAAGCATGTGGGATTTTAGCAAAATGTCCACCTTCAGCTAACACACTGTTAAAGAAAAGGGGGTAACAGGATAGTTTCTGTATTATCGTTTTATTTGACTTCCAGTTTTGAAGACTTTTTTTTTCCCTAAGCATGAAAACATTCAGACATATAAATCACTTTTTAAAACCTAGATTTCTGGCTTACTAAACCTGAGAGCAAGCTGAAAACATGCATTTCTCTTTGGAAACTAAGCCCTCAAATGCTATGATCAAAGCCACTGAATGAACGGTTTGAGAAGCACACTAAGCATGTTTTGCCATACAGGTACATTGGTAATTGTATAATTTCAAAAGGCAAGAATATAGAGGAAAACTGCCTGTGCAGCTCTGTAAAGAATATACTTTTCTAGAATGTAAGATTGGGTTCAAATTATAACTCTGCCACTAAGAAGGTATAACTAGCCATTCACCAACTTCCTTGTTGGGAGGAACAAAGGGCTTTCCATTCTGAACCTGGAAAGCATCGGCTACAAGCTCTCTTGAGGTAGTAGGGATTTTAATGCCCAAGGCCACCTTATTAGGAAGAGAAAATATTATCTCTTTGACTCACAAAATGGAAAGATATTTTTTATATGAAAAGCTAATAATCAGAGAGATTGAAGATCTGGTTCTCTGTCATTCCAAAACTTTTGCTCTGGTCTACCAATATATTTGTGCATTCTAGGATATCTGTATTGAATATTGCTTGAAGGGAGCCGTTGCCTGGGATTCCTTATATATATATATACACACAGATTTTCCTGCGTGGCCTCTGTTGCCTGGGAACCAGCCCTCCATACAGTCAACATATCCACATACCCTGGGAAGATACAAATTGAGTGTAATATTGGTTGTGTATTTTCTCCTCCATAAGAAGAGTTAGAAAATAATTTAAAATTTTTAAAAGACCATAAAGCTCTCTGCAAATAAAAAAGTTAAGATACTTCATAGCATACACTGAAAATAAAAAGTGCTATAGTAATGCAAAATAATAATATTGTTAAGCCCCTATATTCTATAATAATAAGCACTGTTTCAATGGTAAGTAGAATAATATAGAAAAATACTGATTTGAGTTGACTCATAAATGTATCATGCTTCTTATATTTCATTATATATAGGACTTGCTCCAAAAAATGAAAAAAGCAAATACCTAGTATTTCTTTTATTCATTTTAGAGCTCTGCTAGTCATTGTAATGCTATAAATCATGGCATATCAAGGAAGAGGTGGCCTTCACCCAGTATCTATTACTGTGTGACAAACTACCCCAAGCCTTAGTGTCCAAAGTCAGCAAGCATTTTATTACCTCTCATGATAATTTCGTGTTTTTCCTGGGCTCAGTTAGGCAATTCTGTTCCATATGTAACTGGGGCTCTAGTCGTTTAGAGGGTCAATTGGGTTGCAATGCCCAAGACAATCTGCTTTGTGTGAATAGCAGTAGGTCCTAGTGATTGTCCAGTTGCTTAGCTGAGGGCTAACTGAAGTACCTCTGTGGTCTTTTACTGGCCTCACTGAGGGATTTATACTGCTCAGATCACAATGGCTGGAAACATTCTTTTTTTTTTTTCCTGTCAGTTTTAAAATTCCTTTACTTCTCACAATGATCAAATGGGGAAATAATTCAAAATCACAAATAATACAGCAATCGCTATAAGGCTGAATTGGTGTGGAGAGCAAAAATAAATAGACTCCATCCTAAAAGGAAGAAGAGATTCAGCGGTGAGAAGAACAGTGGCTGGAAACATTCTAAGCAGATCAGTTCCGAGGTGCATACATTTTTTTGAAGCTCTGCTTGTATTACATTTGCTAATGTCCCCATCAGCCAAAGCAAGTCATGAGGGCATGCCTAGATGTGGGGAGAAACTACCAGTCATGAATCCCTCAAGGTGTGGTTGAATGGAAGCCATTACTGGAATAGTCCACAGCGCCATAACTAACCTTGCAAATATCCTCATATCCCTGGGTGGCACAGAAGCAGATGGGAACTTGGCCGCCAGCACCATGATAGCAATGATCAAAAATAGAAAACTGTGGGGCTTAACACAATCATTAAGTGCAAGGAGCTTCAGTGAGAACCTGTGTGGAATGATAGCAGAGACCAGCCAGGAAGACTGGGACTTGTGTATAGGTCAGAACTATTATACCCCAGCACTCTATCACCCTCCTGTATCTCAAGAATGCATTGGGCTGCATAAACTCATCTTTGGTGACTTTAGCAACAGGCACTGAAATTTCTCATGTTATAAGAACTTCAAAAAACAGGTGATCATACAAACCGGTTCTGCAGTTCAATAACATGTTTGCAATTTTTGGACTTTTCTGTGCGTTCGTAAGATTGCCACCCCCGCATCTGAATTGCTTCTGACATCAAAGAGGAGAAGGAACCATCGTAGGCCAACTGGAAGCAAAAGCTTTTCTAGAAATTTCAACTGATTTCCTGTGTCTTGTCTACTAGAACTGATTACCCCAGTGGCAAAGGAGGCGGGACACTTTGCAATTCAACATATTTTTGGATTCCATAGTAAGGAAGTTGGGATTGGGGAGGAGTTATATTGCTTTGTAACAATATCTGTCACAACCCTGAATCGGAATAACCTCAGAAGAATGGGAAACCTTAAAGTATCTGAGATCAAGAACCTATGACCCTGATAGAAAGGGATCTGGAAATTCAAATTAAGTTATTTTAAAGAAAAATAATGTTCCATATAGCTGCAGTGATTGGGTAATATCCCTAAAGGGTTAGTCCCTGGCACATAGCAAGTGCTAGTAAATGTTAGCTGTTGTGGTAAAGATGATGTAATAGTGGTGGAGATGGAGATATTAATTATTATTACCACTGGCATAAGATAAATTAAGATTTACACATTCATCCAACAAACATTTATTGAGTGCATTTTTATACAAGAATCTTTACAATCTAAGCCCTAGGAAGCAAAGAGTTAATGGGTGATTCATATTATTGGGAAAAATACAAGTATTTATTTTGGATACAGTATGAAGAGAGAAGTTGGGTGCTTTTGGAAGGTATTCCTAATGATTCAGAATGCAATGCATTCTCCTCCAGAACAAAACTGTGGATGTGGGAAACAGCCACACTAGTAAAAAAAGACTATGTTTACTCTGGTAAACAAACAAACAAACAAACAAACAATGCCAAATTGACCATCTATAGCATGTGTAAGTACACAGTTCAGTAATAGAAAGGTATTTTGTTGCATTAATGATTTCAGTAAACGTTTGATTAAAACAAGGAAATAGAGGTATAAAAATGCATTGAAGCAAGAGAGAATATCACTGTTAAGACCCATCAATATTTGGTTGTTTTATGATTTTATTTGATTTGGTTTGACTTTTAGAGTCAGCAAAACATTAAAGCAACACACACACACACACACACACACACACACACACACACCACTCACATTCCTCTGCAGACAGTTTCAGCTGTGGGATGTGTCTGCTCATTGTAATTAAAAAAAGACCCAGGTTACTGCTAAGCCCAGACAGGTCTGCTGGGCTGCCTCCAAGGTGCCAGGCTGAAAATGCTGAGGAAAGACCTAAGCAAGGAATCCATGTCCCAAACCTGCACAGAAGTTTCTTGGGTGTCAGAGGAGGCAGAGCAAAGTGTGATGGGGGTGGGGAGAAGAATGGCCGACAGAATTAGTGGGAAGGATTTCTTGAGGGGGCATCATGCTGGTTTGGCATGGCCAGGAAAACAGCAGAATGAGGGAAATAAACATTACTGAGAAAAACACAGAACGTGCTTCTTTAGAAGAAAAATATGGTCTGAAGCTCCTTCTCCTTCCCCCAAAAAGGAGTGAAAGGAAAAGGAAGGAAAGAAGGAAAAGGGGAGAAGAAGGAGAGAGAAAGGAAGGAAGACATCAATCAAGAGAAAGGCCAAAGAGGGCTGGAAGGTGGATCAGCAGTAGACTCCTTGTCCAGCACATGCAAGGCCCCGGGTTCCAGAGAAAGGAGGAACACTGGCCAGGCACAGTGGCGCCTACCTGTAACCCCAGGGATTCCGGTGTCTGCAGCAGGAGGATCGCAAGTTTTGGGCCAACCTGGACAACTTAGTGAGACCCTCACCAGCTCAGTGAGACTCTGTCTCGGAAATTGTTTTTAAAGGGCTGAGGATGCAGCTCAGTGGTAAAGCAGCCCTAGGTTCAATCCCTAGTCCCAATCATCATCATCATCATCATCATCATCATCATCATCATCATCATCCAGGACATAGCACAAGGAGAGAGAAGGAGAAGTGATACAATATCAGGCTACACTTAAGGATGGAGACTTGGCCAGAAAATGAGCAGCAGAGAAGGAAAGGGGACACCTGCTATGGTTCTCTGGGCCTTCTAGAAAAGAGAAGGCCTTTGGCTACCCACTCAGAAACGTACAAGAAAGGTGATACTGTAGACATCAGGGACGTGAGTGCTTCCCCTAAAGGAATGAATGCCCACCAAAGGCACCAGGAAAGACGGGAAGAGTCCACGGTGCTCCCAGCATGCTTTGCTGCCGACAGGTTCAGGGCAGGGTTCTCAGCAGGAGACTTAACATGCACGTCAGGCCCCTACAGCACTCTCAGAGCTGCGACGGCTTCCTGAACCCCTTGAAGAAAATCATGGGAGGAAGGAAGGCAAAGAGGAGGCTCTTGGCTGCCCTGGAAGCCCCAGGACAGCTCACTTCATGAGAGCCCATGGCAAGGAGCCTGAGCCATGGCGCCTAGCAGGGAAGAAGAAATTCATGGCATAGTAGGGAAGAGAGAGGCCTGGATTGTAAAAACAAACAAATAATAAATAAATAAAAGGCAAAAAAGGGTTTTTCAGAGCTCTTTGAATCCACAGAATATGGTTAAAAAAACTTAAAGGAGAGAGTGCAGTGTGAATCACACTTTAACATTGATGTTAATATCATGTAAAAATTCTGTCTACATGCTAGAGATAAGTCTGAAGGACTCAAATGGAAGAGATATTGAAAATAAAGTAATGCAATTATTAAAAAAAATAGTTCAAAATATGTAGGAACGGGGGGTAGAAGATACTAAGAATTGAAGAAAAGAATAAGATTACAAATTTACAGCTTTTAATTAAGCAACTACTATAATTCAGGTCTGTCTTAAGAGAAACACCACACACACACATACACTCACACAAATACACACACATGTGCACACACTCACACCCACACACATGGGATGGAGCTGTGAGTCTTGGAAAATGGGAACAGAGTTGGGTATAGCCTAAAAGTAAATTTTTAAATGTCCAATTTAGAATTAACCTGAAAGGGAGTAGAGTTAAAGGATGCTTGGTTAGGTGTATGTTGTAGGAGTGAGGAACATGACCACAGAGAAGGAAAGTGGCCCCGTAGCAGGAGTAAAATTCATTGACAAATAATAATTAAGGTTGAAAAAGTGGGGCATGCAGGGGGCTAGCTTTTCTAACCATGTTGTACGTTGATTACTTATTCTTTCAGCTAGCCCGTCATCAAACGCTTATCTAAAGTTTATTGCACCAAGCCCTGAGTTAGGTGCTAGAGACCGAAAGGCATGAAACGTTCTCTGCGATGAGAAAGGAGAACCTAACACAAGGCAGGCAGGAGACTCAGATTCGGGGTGCTGTTTGTGACAAGAACCCTGCCGGTCCCTTCATGGTGACAGTTAAACCAATATCTTACAAGTTGGAAAAGTTGTTGGAAACCCGGAAAATTGCTCACTCTCACTTCACTGGTCAAAAATATTAATTTACTATCTTAAGAAATTATCAAAGGACTTTTATTTTTTAATGACAAGAAAATCTTTCAAGGGATCCAGTTTCTTAGCATGTAGAAGAAAAATAACAGTAAAGGGGAAAGAGGGAACAGTCCAATCTTATGCAGTACATATAAATGGCCAAAAACCAGACAGAAAGGTTCAACTCTGCAAATAGCTAAGATGGAAATGTAACCTATGAAGGTAATTGAAATACTTACAATTATAATTATTGTTTAAAGAAATAGGAACGTGGATATTCTGAATCAAAGGAGGCATAAGAATAAACTGGCATAATATTTTGGAGGTAATTTAGCAATATGTATAAATATGCTTAAGATAAACAAATATATCATTTGGTTAGTAACTTTTTTATTTTTTATGAATTCATTCTTTGATGTATTTATTTTTTGCAGTACTGGGAATGGAACCCAAGAATGTTCTACCATTGAGTCACATTCTCAGCCCTTTAAATTTTTTCTTTTTCTTTTTTTTTTCCTTTCTAAGTTGCTAACTTGTGATCCTCCTGCCTCGACATCCCTGGTTGCTGGGATTAGAGTCATGAGCCAGCTTGATTTAGTAATTCTCTCAGCACTCAGTTCCAAGGATTTATTTATAAGCGCTTTCAAATTTTATATAAAATCTTATTCAACATGTTTTGATATAGCATTATTTTAATAGCAAAAAAAATGGAAAACAACATGAACAAGCCACAAACTGGAAATTCTGACCCACCCATATGCAGATATTAGAAGCCATGTTTTTAAAAAAAGAGTATTTTGAAACATGGGGAATATATTTTCTCTAACATTTACTAGGAGAAAAAGATATACATCTTTTAATCAATATGATCCTAATTTTTATAAATTGCCAAACTCCAAGAGATTTGTTCTTAATTGCCACTGATTCCTCCCCCCATGAGCCATAAAAGACATTCAATAATTTTTATTTTTATTTTTTAAAAATATTTATTTTTTTAGTTGTACACAATACCTCTATTTTTGTTTATTTATTTTTATGTGGTACTGAGGATCGAACCCAGGGCCTCACAAGTGCTAGGCGAGTGCTCTACCGCTGAGCCACAACCCCGGCTCATCATTTTTATTTTCATCATTTCATCATTCATCATTTTTATTCAGATGAATGAATAAAAATGAATGTGTGTGTGTGTATCCATATATAAAGAGACTAAAGTTAACCCACAACACCAACATTGGTTTATTACAGGTGGTAGCATTATACACAATTCTTATTCTGCACAATTTATTTTCGAATTTTCTACAAAGTACTTTATGAGTAAAGAAAGTAATCTTATTAACTTGGGTAACTTGCGTTATAACAGAAGTTCACAGAACATTTTTAAGGGGGTAAGAGAAGGGTTTCATTGTGTGGGTTTTTAAGAGACAACACCAAGTTAGATAAACCAGAACATAATCTTTCGGATGATACAGAAAGATGACACTCTGGGGTGACGCGCTGTATCATGAGGGCAACAGATGTACGGTTTCTGGTCCAGGAGGGGGTGGGAAACTCAAAGAGAGACAGGAAGGAGGCAAGCCTGCCCCTTAGGTTACAGACTGCTGAAAGTGGTCCATGACTCCATCGTGGGTCTTCATGTTCTCCTGGCTCTTGACAACGAAACAGAATCCAAGCACTGAGTGTAGAGTTGAGGTGGAGATAAGACCATGTGTACTGTGAGCCCAGTTCTAGCTTATTTGGGCAATGTCGCCCTGGAAGGATGTGAAGGGGGCCTATCGCTTTGTATTATAAATGGTATAGAGGGACACTGGAGATGGGAATCAAGAGGAAGGTGGGTTGGGCACACTGTGCACAGTATGTATTTCTCTAATCTGATTGACTTTCAGTGCTCTGACACCCAGAGCAGAGAAGTTTGCCTCCCCCCTGTCTGCATCCACCTTGACTCACAAGGACTGGTACAGAGTGAAAGAAGCCACCCACAAAAAGCACCTATTGTGTCATTCCATTTATGTGAAATGTCACTCCCAGATAAGTCTCATCTGGATGAAAAGTCAATGAGTCAGGGGATAGAGGGAGGTGGGGGGGTGGGGTGACAATGTTAGCAGGTACCATGTTTCTTTCTGGGGTGAAGAAAAATTCTGGAATATTTTCAGATGACAATGTCTGCCCATTTTTGTAAATACACAAAACCACTGGATTGTGTGCTCTGAAACAGTGGGCTTATAGAGTGCGAGTTTATAGCTGTTTTCTTTTGTTGTTGTTGTTGGTTTTTTTTGTTTTTTTGTTTTTTACAGCATCTTTAATAGAGTGTAAAACACCAGAAAGACCTATGTAGAAAAGGTTTTCATTGGACCAAGGAGAGATGGCCGGGGGAAGCAGCTCATGTGATGATCAGAAAGCAGAGAGAGACTCCACTTGCCAAATACAAAATATAAACTCCAAAGGTACGTCCCCAATGACCCAGTACATCCAGCCACACCCTACCTGCCTTCAGTTACCATTCAGTTAATCTCATCAGGGGATCAATTCACTGATGAGACCAAGACTCATAATCCAATCATTTTTCCTCTGAGCCTTCTTGCATTTAGGGGACAACTCACATCCAAACCGCAACCAACACTTTCTGGTATGCAGCACTCTAGATCACTGCCTCCTGCCCCATCTGGGTTGATCGTCTCCTGTGGGACAAACTTACGGTATTTAATCATTAAGTCTATATTTAAAGCATTAGTTTCTATATATGAATAAGTATGTTACACCTTATTGATTATCAAATTTGTTTGCTCATACATCTTCCTAAAGAACAAAACGCCAGAAAAATGATAATTAACCTGTTCAGCAAAGCACACAATTAAAAACATCACTATGTGTCATCCTAAACATTTTAAGGCACAATTGTGTGGACTACAAAAAGAAAACAATGCATTTTATCCAGGTATTTTAGATGCAAATAAATATTAATGCAAGTAAATTCATACTTTATTAAAGGATAATGAATACCAAAAAGTTGGCCAAAATGTGAGATAGTCATCCAACTGTCCAAAAAATCACACAGGGGGCTGGGGATGTGGCTCAAGCGGTAGCGCGCTCGCCTGGCATGCGTACGGCCCGGGTTGGATCCTCAGCACCACATACAAACAGAGATGTTGTGTCCGCCGAGAACTAGAAAATAAATATTAAAAAATTCCATCTCTCTCTCTCTCTCTCTCTCTCTTAAAAAATAAAAATAAAAAATAAATCATATAGTTTTCCTCTTTCTTGATTCTTATTTCTTTTGCATATTAGTAACAGAGGACTCCAGTGATAGGAAACGAATACATTACTATTAAAAAAGTGGAAATTATGTGACAATTTTGTCATCTCCAGTGCTTGGTAAAGCTTTTATCTTGGTTTCTTTATATTTCTGTTAACCATTTTTTTTCTTTTCCAGTGCTAGAGATTAAATCTCAAAGCTTTACCATTAAGCTAGTCCCCAGCCCTTTCTATTTTTAATTTTGAGCCAGGGTCTCACTAAATTACTGAGGCTGACCTAGAACTTGTGATTCCCCTGCATCTGTCTCCTGAGTCACTGGTATTACAGGCATGTGCCACCATACTGGCTGTTTCTGTTAAAATTCAAATTCTGAAGCCAAGAAAGATAAATCAAGGTCACATAGATATGACTTTTAAAAGGATAAATTTCAGAAAATAAAGTATTATGGA